TCCTATCAGGGGATTAATTCACTGATTGTATTAAGGATCTCATAACCCAACCATTTCACCTCTAAATGTTCAAGTATTGTCTCACATATGAACTTTTGTGGGGGATGGTGGGGGCACCTCATATCTAAACCATAACAAAATTATAGAGACCATGGAGAGCCTCATCAACAGGCCTATCTTACTCCATGAGCAGAGGATGGCTACTGCATGATGTCAAGCAGGGGACATATGTGATTTGAACTGTGCTTTCTGCAAGAATAAACCATTTAGAGGGAAATTGGATGGATTAGGGATGGAGACCCTAGAAATTGGGAGGCCAGTTATTATGCTGTTACAGAACACCAGGTGTGAGACTCTGTGAGTCTGAACTGGGAAGTACTCAGCAGGCGGCAGAGTGAAGTTCCAGCCCACCTGGTAATATTTTGGTCTCTTGGGACTGGGAGCAGGGCATCTTTGCAAATAAACATAGCAACAGTCAAGTCCTTTATTGGGTGAACATTTTTTCAGCATTGCTTAAAAGAGGGCACAGCATAAGAGGAAACAAAAATGTGAAGGCAAATTGAATATGAAATATCATCTCAAAATTTAATCAGTGAGGAAGCTAAGGTATAATTTAAAAATCAAGTATAACATACATTCAAAAACAATCACAAAACCTAAGTACAGAGTTTGGTGAATTGTCACAATGTGAAACCACCTGTGTAATTATCCGGGAATAGAGAAAATGACCATAACCAACATTCCAGGAGCCTCCTTTGTCCTAACTCCTAGTGATTAGCAATTATCTCTTCATAAAAGCACCCTGCCCCAGTGTCCTACTCAAAACTTAATAGATGTGTTGTGCTTATTTAACATCTTTAAACCTATAATGTTTGTGGGATTCATTCCACATGGAGTATATAGCAACTTAATTCATTTCCATTACTGTTCTATTCCATTATCATAAATTAGATACCCTTGAAACTGATGTCAGATATCTGAGTTATTTTCCAGCTTTGGGTATTATAATTACAGATGCAATAAATTTTCTAATTCTTGTATATATATTTTATGAATAAATATATGTTGTCTATTATTGAATATATGCATAGAATTGGAATTGTTAGATCATAGGAAATAAATATGTTCAGTTTCAGTAGATGCTTCCATATGGATTTCAAAGTTGGGCTGTTCCCATTCCTTCTAGCAGATTATGATAGTTCCTGTTGCTCCATGTTTTTGCCAACTATTAGTGTTGTCAGTATTTATCACTTTAGGTATGATGTTCATGTATATATAATTTTTAAATTATGCAAAAGGTCAAGTGGCAAGTACTAATAAGTGTTAAAGAGTGATTTGGAAGTTTAGAAATGGAGGAATTCACCTCTTGTGCTTATGTCAAGAGACCTAAGTCCTGAGATAAGAATGGCAACTATGCATTCTCCAGTGCCACTCTATGATTTTATAGTGTACTTATAATTGTAAAATGACAATGATTTGAGTTTAAACCATGTCTCTCAGACTACCAACCAGCAAAACAGGCATCCTTCCTTACCTTTTGAAAGTCCCAGATATAAAATTGTGTCATTGATAATTGTGCTGCAAATCTCTAAATTGTTACTTTTAGAAACAAACAAAAGGCCAATCACACCTAAAAATTAATAGTAATTCCTTAATGCAATTGAATTTTCAATATATGTTCAATTTTTCTTTTATTTAATATTTTTTAGTTGTAGTTGGACACAATATCTTTATTTTATTTATTTATATGTGGTGCTGAGGATTGCACCCAGGGTCTCGCTCGTGTTAGTTGAGTGCTCTACAGCTGAGCCACAACCACAGCCCCCAGTTTTTCAATTATTTTACAGTTTGTTGGATTCAGCATACACCTAAGGGCCACACAGTGTGATTAACTGATTCATTTTCAGACCCATTAATCTCTAGGTCTCCTCAGTCCATTTCATTCTCTGAAGATTATTGTTGAAAAATTCATAGATTTTGTCCTGCAGAATTTGTTTCACTAATTTTGACTAATTTCAGGGAGCACCTGGAGAGGAGGCAACAGGGCTGGAGCCAAATGGTCGTTATCAATCACCTTCTTCACTGTGCTTTTCCACCTACAATAAGCTTGCAGCCTGACTCAGATTGGAATCAGAGACAACGTGAAAAACCTTCAATCTTGGATAACCTATTGGCAGCCCCACTCTACTTTAGAGAATGTTGAGTTTACCACGTCACTTTCTTTCATCCTTTGACAGTAAGGTCCAGTGTCAGTTGATACAGCATCAGGTTTCCCCTCTTTTTCAAATACCTAGACAGCTACACTCATATCAAGTCTCCTGTAAATACCTGTGAGCATCTGCCTTTGCAACCAAGCTCTAGATAGGGCCCTGAGGCTGAAGGAGACCCAACTACCCACAAAGTTCTTAGTTCCTTTAGAACAGGGAATTATCTTCACCTTACAAGGAACATTTGGCACTGCTGTGATTTAAAATGTCTGTCTCTCCATCTACCTTAGGACTTCTCAAGAGGCTGTGTCATCTGGAGCTCCAGCTAGCTGGCAAATGTCAGTGACCTCATGTTTGTCAAGTGGGCATCTGTTGGATCCTTTTACCTCCCTTGGGACCATGGCCATTATTGGGTGTTGGCTGAGGCGGCCTCATGGGTTAGCATTTTCCTATATGTGACCTGGCTGGATCTGCCATTCTCCAGCTTTTAGCCCCTGCATGGGTTTTTGACCTTAGTCCTGCTTAATGGTTTAATCTGAAATCTGCCTAGGCCCCTTAGTGATAGTGTCATAACTGCTGCTTATTGGTTCTTGCTACTGTCTCTTCTTAGTCCCTCCTATCACTATATAACCTTGTTCCTGACACAATAAAGTTGAGATTATTGCACCTTCATGGTTGACTCATCTCCCTACCTGGTGTGAGTGTGTGGGCCAGGTTGGGTGGCAGGCCTGGTCACGATACTTACCCTCTCGCTCAGCCCAGGAGACACTAGCTGGTCTAGTGCGCTTCACTACCCCTGTCAAGGGGGAGGGCAGTTCCAACAGCTGGTGCCTTGGAGACGACAGGCTGGCTCCCATGTAGCCTTGTCGCGGGGTGGGGGGGGGGGCAACAGATATCTTCTACACATCCTGATTCTCCCACACAGAAGAAAGAAAGTGCATCTGATGAATTGTGAAAGAGACCACAACAGCATATTTAAATAGAAGCTGCTTTATTAAGTGAACACCTGTTCTCTTCCTTCCTCCTTTCTCCTTCTTTCCTTTGTTCCTCCCCTGGTCCCTCAATTTCATCCTTCCTCCTTCTTCTCTCTCTCCTTTCCTCTTTCTCTTACCCTCCTCTTTCTACTTTCTTCCCTCTCTTTCTCTTCTCCTTCTTCCTCTTCCTCTCCATTATAGTGACATAGAACACCAACACCTATGTGTTGGTAGCAGGTGACTTCCCAGGTCACTCTCCTCTCTCCCCACTCCCTCTGGCTTCTGGTTATTCCTGTTACACAATCCTGCAGTGGGTGGAACACTATGAAAGTTTATATGACACTCAGTTGTCTTCTTCCAAATATAGAGGGGTAGCTAAAAAGTATTAGGAACTCAAAAAAAAAAAAAAAAGGTGAAATAAGTGATTTGTGAGGCCAGCAAATTTTTGGAAAGAACTATTCAATAGCACTGCCTATTTTAAACCTCTACACTTTGCAGCTAAGGAAACAGATGTTCAAAGAAGTTAATTGCCTTAAAGTCACATTGGTTGTTTATGTAATGATCTCTAAAATTTCAGTTCAGTGTTCTTTCTGCCTGATATTCTGTACTAGATACCACTATAGCCCACTGAATATGACATCTATAAAGGCAGGAATCTTGTTACCTAATGATTTTCTAACACCTACCATAGAAACTAAGCATCTTTCAAATTAATTATACCTTGATGAATATTTTACACTTAAGTTTCCAGCCTGGAATATACAGGGTGATACATAAAATCATGTGAAAAAACAGATGTAGTTTAATAAAATGTTAAGTCAGATTTGTCTGTCTTATGGATTTGTTTATAGATACAAATAATTTTTGTAACTAATAATTTGACATTTTAAATTTAGATAAATTTATATTATGAAATAAATGGTGAATTTGCATATTTTGATATGAATATCCATTAAATATTCATAAAAGTCTTTAAAATTCATTAAAGTCTTTACATGTTCCAACAGAACATTTGTCTTCTACCCCAGAGGGCCTAGCATTCATAGATCTCCCATTTTTTTAGGTAAGCAAGAAATCTTGTTCTTATTATGATATTTGAGTTTTAAATGATGACAATCAAATTCAGAGGTTTTTGAAAACATGTGTGGAGAAAAAGAAATAAAATGGTGTTGGCTGCTATGACAGCTGTCATTCTGGCCTTGATCTCTTCTCATGTTCAAACTGGCAGTAATCTGAAGAGAAAGGATGAAGACAAGAGAATCCACAGGTCAGGTCAATTTTTCCACTAATCATCTCCTTTTGTAGGCAGCAATAATGTTAGATGCTTTTACACAATCATAATCATATCACAAAAGGGAGAAGCTAGACAGTGGTAACTTTGGGAACATTTTAAGTCTACTCTGTAGAAAAGGGTGCTAGTATATTATGGGAAAAGTTCTAACTTAATTTAGTCTACTTGATTGATTATCAACTTATTCTACTTGATTAATTATTTTTGAGAAAAAAAATATACTAAGAAAATTTCTCCAGAAAAAAAGGAAAGGCATTTGTTTTACAAGTGGGTTAAACTTTCTACATACTAATGAATGTATAAATGCATCTATGATTTTAAAAATTTAACAACTCATCAATAAAATGTCTCAAATCCAAATCATACATTTGGCATAAAGGTAATTTGAAAACTTTTTCAACTCAATAAAACCAATATAAGATTAATAAGGTCTCATTAAATTGTATTTTGAAAATAATTTTTGTATGTGCTATAAAACATGATGTTCTATCTGAATCTATCACATAGAACAGGAGCTACAAATCCTTCTCACAAGTGAACATCTGGACATTCTACATGAACTGCACTCAGGTTTCCTTGCCAAACCCCCACCTGTGCTGACACAGCCCCTGCTCCTCCCTGTCTGTGGTGGGGTCTCCCCCCCAGAGGCCCTAGCTCTTCTTGAGGTATTTGTGGGACTCCCACAGGCAGCCTTCTCACTGTGGCCTGTCTCAGGGCACAGAAATACACTGCTGCATCCATGAGCTGTGAGGCTGTGATGATGAGCTGGATGGAACTGGATGCCTTCTGGAAATAGAGGGAATAGCGACCCTCTGTTGCATTTTGCTCATTGTAAGAGCCCTGACGAATAAGGAGAGTCAGTTCACCACTGGGTAGTTGTTTGTACCAGAATAAATAATAAGTAGAATCACTGGTTTCATACACACAGTCCAAGGTCACAGCCTCCTTCTCCACCACAGAAATTGCAGTCTGAGCTTGAATTACCTTCTGGGCCATGCTGGTTCCTGCAGGAGAGAGGAAGAAATAGACTAATCCTTTATCTGGAACTATGGGAGTCAAAAGGATAGAGTGACTAAGGACCCAGCACTCTGATCCCATTGCCTTTTATTCATCCCTCAGAACCTCATCAGAAAATAAAGATCTTCTCTGCAGGACCTTCAGGGCTGAGAACAGCCTGCGCTCTGTGCTTGTGCACATCCTTACCAAGACAGATGGAGGCGATGGCTGCTCCCAGCAGGCTGATGGCCAGCATAGTGGTGCTCTTCCCCGAGAGAACTGTTCTGTTTTGTCCCAAATCCAGATCTTAATTCTGCACCTGGTGCGCAAGAGGTACAAGCAAAGTTACTGGGCTATGCATTGCATCTGCTCCAACAGGAAATGCAGTTAGCAGATGTGGAGCAAGTTTGCCTGGGTCCTGTCACATGCTTCCTGTATAGTGGGAGATGCCTGACAGCTCTGAGCAGCTGCTTTATCTTATTATAATTTATTGGGTTGGATAATTTTCAGTATATTCTTTGATGTAAAATGGAGGACTTAAAATTATTATGAACTCTAGTCATGGGCTATCATGGTCATATGTCTTTTGGTCTTACATATGCCTTTTTATTCCTACAGATGGTAGTAAGGTAAAATGTAAAAGCAGAGTTTGGACTCTCTAACAAGAAGGTAAAACTTTTAGTCTCAATCTTTGTTCCTACCTTACCAGTCATGGAATCTGGCAAAAATCACCAGAAATACTGTATTGTTAGTGAATAATTTCACATCATGTCTCCTGAGTCACAAACTGACACTGACCTCTTCATACATAGCCTCCCTCTATCAACATCCTGCAAAAGATAGATACATTTGTTGTAACTCAAGAAACTGCATGGACCCATCGTTGTCAGCCAGAGTGTGTAGTTTTCATTAGGTTTCAATGTCAGAGCCAGATGTGAGGTGTCCCCCCAAACCTCACATGTGAAACAATGCAAGAATGTTTACAGGAGAAATGATAGGGTGGTGAGAGCCTCAACCCAATCAGTGAATTAATCCCCTGATAGGGATTAACTGAGTGGCAACTGAAGGTGGGTAGTGTGCAGCTGGAGGAGGTGTGGCATTGGGGATTTGGCATTGGGATATATATTTTGTTTCTGGTGAGTAGAGTCTCTCTCTGATTCCTAATCATGTGAGCCACTTCCTTCTGCCATATGTTCTGCCTTACATCAAGCACCAAGGAAAAGCACCAAGGAAAAAGACTGAGTTCTCTGAAACTGTGAGTACTCAAATAAATTTTTCCTTCTCTAAAATTGTTATGGTCAGATCTTTTAGTCACAGCAACAACAATAACAACAACAAGAACAACAAAAAAAATCTGAACAAAACACCTTCCAATACTGATCAGTCTTTCCTCATCCTCTGTTGGTATCCAGGACTTACTTTTTTCCTGATAAAATTAGAATACAAAGAATCATTTGGAGTCAGTGATAAAAATCCTTCAAGTCAAGTGAGGATATAGAAGGCACCTACAGTGAGGATGAGCCTGAGGACATGGAGCCAAGATGGGCAGAGCTGAGCCTGGCTTTGCTGTTCCCTTTCCATATCTCATGACTATTCCAAAATGCTTCCCAAAACCCCCACAAATCTGAACATACTTTTTTCCCACCGCATGGAGAATGTGAAACCACCAAGTCCACCCATGGAGAGGGCTTCTGGGAAGCAGCCCTGACAGGGTTTGCGTCAGGGCTGCAGGTGCCTGCCGATCACTGTGCATCTGTAGCACAGAAGTAAGTGGAAGCGTCTGCAGCCTGGGAAGCCGTGATGGACAGGACACTTCTTTGGGTGGAGGTGTCCAGGGTGGCTGTTAGTCTTCCACTGTGTTTTTCTCTCTCATTTGAAAGTATTAAGATCACCAAAGCAGGACCTTTACCTGAATCCTGTCTATACCACTGCAGAGTGGTAGTACTACTTTTGTAACTGCAGTTCATGGTGGCATTTTCACCCTCCTGGATGGTCAGGACCCGAGGGCTCTCTTCTTCTTGTTGGCTGTTCACCCCTAGGCAGAAATGAGGCCAGAGACCAGAAGTCACTACTAAACTTTCAAATCCTATTCCCCAAATCACAGGAAGATTTTACCTCCAAATCTGGTCTCCCTATTCCCATCTCCACCAGCCCATCACTCACTGGCCAGCTGAAGCCACAGAGTCACCAAACACACTCCCAGGAGTTTCTGCATATTCCTTCCTTATTGGGGTCACAGGAGGCACAGATCTGGCACCTAAAAAGGAGCCAAGTTCCTCAGTCAGAAGAGTTCCCATTATTGAACATTTATCTAGTCTTCCAGTCCCCTCCCAGAGTCTCGATTTTACTCAATCAGCAGCAAACTCAATCCTTTGCTTTGAACACACATGCAAGCAAGCAAGCAAGCAAGGGCACATGTGTGCGCACACACTCGCATGCACACACACACACACATACACACACACACACAGATTGAAAGTAGATCTAAGAAGAGGGAGACACTGACATCTGGTGGTGGCAACATCATCCCTCTGATGGAATGTGCTCTGGATGGTGAAGTGTGCAGAACTGACACAGAAGGAACCTGAAATATAGTCCATTCTCTGCCTACATAGAATTCTGGTTATGGCTTAGTCTAAAAGCAGATACAGTTGTTTCTGGTAAGAACTCAATGAAGGAAGGATGTCAGCACCCAGAAACTACTGGATACCTTTGAGAAGAACTGTTAACTTTGCCACTCTTACAATTTCTACACATGTATCTTCAAGATGATGTGACTTTTTTTTTGCCTAATGTTGGAATGAAAGTATATATGACAGACTTTTATTTTGTGAGAAATTAAGTGGACTGTGATTTGATTAAATTAAAAAGGAACAGATTAGTGAATACCAGGTTTGCCTGGAAATCCCCAATAGGTTCAGGGAACTGGGCTCAAGCCCCTAAGAATGAAGCTTGCTATGCCTAGAATGATACCTGGAAACTGTGAGTCCTCAAATAAACTTTTCCTCCCCTGAAATGGTTCTTTGTCAGATCTTTAAGCCACAGCATGAAAAAGATAACTAAAACTTTTGCATTTATCATAATTATACACATTCATGTGTCTAACAAGATCTGCACTGTTACATTAAAAATATAGTACATAACTTTCAACTTGAGGTACTCCATATTTATATGTTTCCTTCATAAATACTGCTGTCAGCTGCTAAAATCAAACACACTGAGGCATCAGTTGCTACAGTGTCTTGAGTTAGCTGAGCTTATTAAATTCCTCAAACACAAAAAAGACACTTCAGCATAATTATGTAGAAATTAGACCATTTACTTAAAGACTAAAGAATGTTACATTCTAACTGCTAGTCCACCATCCCTTATCCCTGGTATGAACAATGACAAGGTCTACCAGATACTTTGGGGAAAGCATGTTCAGCTTACTCTCTGTAAAGAAGTTGTGTTCATACACTAGAGTCACCTGGCTTGTCAGAACAATGGTTATTAGTTTTATAAAACCTACAAAACTCAAAATTACCAAAGAAAACAAAGCAAATAGGGTAAGCATTAGCTTTCATTGTGTTTTGTTGAAAATACAGAAAAGGGACTCAGTTTGAAAGGTATAATTTTTACTCTAAATACAACTTTTGAATTTTATCCACAGCTCTCAGCACAGGCCAGTCAGATGTGAATAGTTTAATAGTAATTAACAGAAAATTAAGTTCTTCTATACCCCATGTACAGGATCTCCTGGGGCTTTCAGCCAGCTGTTTCCTAGCTTCACAGAGGGCAGCTCAGCAACAGGACCACTGATGGTGACCAGGGAAGGAATGACACCACTCAAACACTATCACACTCACTTCCTCAACTATGAATTAGTGCTAAGTAACATTTTATATTCTCTGGCTTAAGAACAATTTCCTTCTAATCAGTCCTACCTATTTTCATGGTAGTTATGAGTTGCTAAAATGTTTAACCAGAAGTCATAACATTAACATGATCTTTTGTAGAAATATTTTAATTGAAAATTTGCCGCAGTCTGGCTGGGCACACAATCACGAGCCACCACACAGCTTGTAGATTCAAACAGCAACTCTTTATTCCCGAACTCACACCAGCCGTCTACAATCACGTTCTGGGGAAATCCACATTCTCTGCCCAAATCCACCCCCACTGGGCTTCTGTCTCCCAAAATATACTGTCTGAATCCCGTGAGAACTCAAGGGGAACTCAGGCAGCAGGATATGCCCTATTCCCAGCAGGAATAATCTTAAACCTGGAATGCCCTAAACTGGAACGCCCTAAACCCAATTATCCTAAACCGGGAACACCCTAATCCGCCCTGGTCCTTTGAGCAAGGTCACCTACATGCAATGTCACTGCAACATGGGGTACGCTGGCAAGGAAATTGTCATACCTACTTGGCTAATGGCTCCCAGCAAAAATTTATCTTTATTTCATCACTCATTGTGTGAGCTTGGTATCCTTGACAAAGATCAGTTGAATGTACATTCATGGCCTTATATCTGGGCTCTGTTCTGTTCCATTATTTTGTGATATATATATATATATATATATATATATATATATATATGTATAAAACAGAATCACACTGCTTTAATCACTGAAGATTTTAATATATTCAGAATTCAAGAGGTGTTCTACCTTCAGGTTTGTTCTACTTTCTTAAAATGGTCTTAGCTCTTCAGGGTCCTTTTTGCTCAACTCACCAATCATCAGAGGGATGAGATATTGCAATTAGATTTTACCTCACGTCTATGAAGATGGCTACCATCAAAAAACAAAAGACAATCAAATAGTGGTGAGAATATGGAGAAATTGGAACCCTTGAACATGGTTGTGGGAATGCAAAATGTTGCATTCAGTAGGGTAAGCAGTATGGATCTTCCTCAAAAATTTACAGATATAACTACTGTATGATCCAACAATCCCACTTCTGGGTATTTATCCAAAATAATCAAAATTGGTATCTCAGTGAGATATTTTCACTCCTTTGGGTTTTGCAGTACTATTCACAATGATCAAGATGTGGAAAGAACCTAATATCAGTCAGTAGATAAATGGGAAAACAAAATGTGGCATATGCATAAATGAAATATTATTCAGCCTTTAAAAATATGGTGACCTTGCCACGTGAACCTTGTGAACATGATGCTAAGTGAAATAATGCAGTCATAGAAGGTCAAATACTGCATGATTACACTTAGATGAAGTATCAAAACGAGTCAAACTCAAAGCAGAGTAGAATGGTGGTTGCCAGGGACTATGGGAAGGTAATATGGGGAGATGCTGGTCCAGGAGAACCAAGTTTCAGTCATGATAAAAAAGCTCAAGAGATCTGTTGTACAATATTTTGCCCCTAGTTACACACACTGAGTTGTGATCTTATAGTTAAAAAAAAGTAGAACTTAAGTGTTTTCA